ATTTTCCTTGGTAATTTTCAATAGCGAGAAAATTGTGAGAACCGTAAATAGCAGTTATTATCAGTAAACCACTTGAACATATCAGCTGCTCTCCTGCATCAAACCGTATTCATAATTTAAGTGATTTGATATATATAATTGATGCACAATTCCTATAAAATAACATCGTTTTGAAACTGAGTTAAACGACTCAGCAACAAGTAAAATGTTGCGATTTTTCATCGCTTTGACTTATAAAGAAACCTGTCGTACTGTACTTGTAAAGCTACGTGCTTCAAATCGTTCGTTGTTGGTTCTCGTCCTTGCTCCGAGGGTTACGTTTTTCTCCGGGTTCTCCGGTTTTCCTCCCTCCACAAAAGTCAACACTTCTAAATTCCAATTCGATCTGGAAACAATGGAAGAAGAGCCACTTCGTGGAAATGCCACTGCGAATTCTCATCATCATCATCATCATCATTATTATTATTATTATTATTATTATCATAATTATTATTATTACTATTATTATTATTATTATTATTATTATTGGTGATTTGCGTCTCGTCTCATCTTTGTTAAAGAACTAACGCATCAAACGAAGTTCTCATATTATTGTCATAGGACTACCCTTGTCACCAACTACCGTCATAGCGTCTTTAAACCCGTCAAAATTTGCATTAATCAAGTGCCAGATGTGTCTATTTGCCCCTTTGTTTTCTTTGCAGAAACTCGAGTGTATTGTTTAACTTGACTGAGTTGACAGAAACTCTGTTCCCACTGAAAAAAAAAAATATTCTGCCGCAATCGACTAAAGCAACGATTCAGTGTGCGAGAGAGGAATCTGAACTCGAAATAAATCAACAGCAAAGATTCGCCCGTGGTTTGTTCGATCACCGATGAATCTCTCTCAACAGTATTCGATCAGGAGAGAAAATGATTGTAAAAACTTTTTCTTTGAGACTGTTCCTTTGCGATATTCTTCTGTCGATTCATTTTGTGGTTTGCTTGTCGCCGCAGCTGTTGTAAACTTGGCCGCTTGTCCTTTTACTATTTTGTTAAATGCCTTGATTATGGTTGCCGTGAAAACCAAACGACGACTTCAAACACACCCAAACATTCTGTTGGCTTGTTTGGCGCTTACCGATTTAATGGCTGGGCTAGTTGTACAACCCGTTTACACAGCCAAGACTATTTTCCTTTTACAAGGGAAAGATGGCCACGATTTTTGTGACATTGAATTAGCATTTTCCGTCATGTTTGGGATGTTCATGTTCGCAACAGTTTTCCACTTGCTTTTAATCAGCGGAGAGCGATATCTTGTCATCAAACATACCTTCACCCACGCTACAGTCGTCACTAGAGCTCGCCTTATCATTTCCTCTGCTGTGGCGTGGA